TTGATCAAGATCCAATTGACTCAATAAATCATGCCTCAATCGATTATAATCAAACAATATAGCATCCAAAACTTCATACAAGAAAGATCCTAACTCATGGAACTAGGGTTCCTCAAAACCTAAGTGAGGGGAAGTTACTCCATAGAGAAGAGAGAGACTGCAGAAATCTGATCTAGATCTTCAATATCCATCTCCAAGCTTGATTCCTGAGCTCCAATGGCGAAGAAATCCTCCAAAATAGCTCCAAGAATGTTCCCAAGTCGCTCTCTCTCTAGGGTTCGTCCCTTGGGTGTTTGGGATCCAAAACCCAGCTCTCCCCCTTTCCTTTTGCTGAAAATCGGGTTTTAAACATCAATTCCCGACTCACACGGCCAGGCCACACGGCCGTGTGGCTTTCCCAGCTGCCCGTGTGAAGGCTCGGTGAATTCCACACGGGCAAAAGTGCCCATTGCACGGCCGTGTGGGTTGTGCCCGTGTGGTTTGCTCAGCCTCTGTTTAATGCTTCGTTTCTCCCTCGTCCGGACTCCGAATCAGTCACCGTTTGATCCCAGACGCTTGTAGTCTCGTCCTCTTTCTTTTCATGACAAGCTTGCATGATTCTTTGTCCATAAAGTGAGGTAGAAATCCATTCTTCTTCAGGTCATACCCGAGTTTCTTCTCCCGAATCGTCAATTGATCTCTGATTGACTTGAAACTTGCGCCTATGCTTCACTTTATGTGCTAGGACCTGAAATGTGATAAAGGAACACAACCTAGCATAAAATAGGTCAAAGACACGATAATTCAAGCTGAAACAATCAAGAAACAAAGGCGAAAACATGTGCAAATACCGAGTCATCAGTCACTAAGTACTTTTGCCTATAAAATCTAGGATTTGTAATACATTTAGACTTGACAGTTAGCATTAGAAGAATAGGAGAGTGTCTTCTGTTGCTTTGGGTCCAGTTTGTAACTTCAGTAGAACAATCACAGTGTTTTGAACTGGGTGATATGTTCTTGGGAAGTTTGTCTGTGTGTTTTTCAAAGAGCCAATCCGTTGGCTTGGCTCTAAACCTTCTTCTGTGTATCTTTTCTCAAATACATATATAAAACTATTTTCTTTTAAAAGGCTGCTTCCTCCTGAAGCACATTTGTTTCAACTGAGAGTGTCCTATCCTGCAAAATCGAGTAGTCTGCTGCTTTCTAAGTTCACACCCGTTCGATTCGAATTATCGAAACAAACCGATTTTTCTTATGGAGTTTTCTTTGACCCAGACGAACAAAAGCAGCTCCTCGAGCAGGGAAAGTGAGTTGGAACAAAGCATATAAACAAACACTTAGCACACAGTGACACGAGGAAAGAGACAGCAGTAGACAGTAGTTTTAAACACTCCATTTCTGCTAACCTTAAAAGCATTTCCCATCAACCTTAAAAGCTGAAACACCCTAAAATGTGACCATAAAGCTAACTTGTAATACAAAATCCCCCCAATTCCTTAACCTCACCATAAATATCATAAACAAGTAATTAGCCTTCCATTAGAAAGGGGGAAAAAAGAAAGATTTGTAAAATCTGTTGTTGGGAAACTGGTTACTTTTATAGTAGAGTAGAGGATTAGCAAAAGAGCTACCTAGATTAGTATAAAGGTGCTGCCTGCCTGCTGCCATAATTTGGAAGCTTGCTGCTTTATTTTTGGGCAAAAGTTTTGCACTAATGATATCATTACTTTATAATTAATTAATTTGATCAACTATGGTGTATATAATAATTAAAAGGTGTTATAGAAGGAAGCAAAAGTGAAAGGAATTTGGCTGCAGCAGCTGGAAAAAGGGCCATGGATTGGAACTGGTTGAACTCATTGGGCCAGGAGAGGGAATATACTAAAAATGCAGGGCTAGCTAGATTAATTCACTTCACAATACTTTTAACCTAGCTAATAAAACTTTGGCAGCTTTTCTTGCACACTCTTCTGCCTTTTCTCTGTCGAGTGTTTATCGAACTAATTTTTAACGATTTCATTGAAATTTCATTAGTATATGACTATATGGTGTGATTAGCTTCGTCCTAAATCAGAAAATTCATTCTTCTTAAATCCCTCAACAAGAATTCTCAGTAAACAAAAAAAAAAAAAATCACTAACCCATACATGGAAGGTAATAACGGAAGGACTGGGAATTCAATAAAACTGATACAATAAAATCATTTATATTTATAATTTATCTCAATCAAATGCCTCTCATTTACCACTTCCCCACATTAGTTTTGGAAACATGCAAAGCAAAAAACCCATCTTAATGATCAATCATTGTACAACATATGATCAAACATTATTAGTTTCTTTTGATTGAAGCATGTATCAACATTAATGCACACACTAAGTAGAATTTCCCAAAAAAGGACACCACTACATTGGTTGAAATTTCCCCCCCTTAATTATTATGTTCCCCCCTCCCTATTCTCCAACATATTGTTTACAAATTGGAAGGTATAATTGATTAATATAATGTTTTTTTTGTTGATTTTTTCGAACAATTTTAGTCAATATGACGAGCTTGGTTTTCAACACAATTTAAGAGCTTCAAGTGTCAAAAAGATAACTGTAAAAAAAAGTGCCAAAAAAGATTTTTGGTTTGAATCCACATATCCTCTAGTATAAACTGATGAATTAACTTTCATCTGAAGGACTATATAAGAAAATAACAAAAGATTATTGCTTTCACATTTTTCTATCAAGCTGTTTAGATGAGCTGCTAATGTATGAAAATAATATATATATATATATATTTTAAAAAATCAAATTAATTAGACATGTCGATTCATGATTTGAAAGAACATACATCAAAATGATGTGAAATAACATTAAAAATTGATTTTGAAATCAAACGATTAAATTTCTATGATTTAGTTATCTGAACAATAAGAGGAAGCTAACTAATATGTTGCTCATAAAAACTAATAAATTTTATAAATGTTATCCAAATTTAACAAACACGTCGCTTATAAAAAACAGATTCATCCAAGAATATAGTATGAAGAATTGAAGATTACCCATTCAACTAAATGAAGACATGAAATTTATCACGAAAAATGGGGAGGAATTATGAACAATTGAGCATGGAAAACCGTTTTTCAAAGCAAGGATTACTTTTCAGTTTTATTTTCTTCTCTCTTTTTGAATTTGTACTTGATAAAAGTTGTTACAAGTTAGAAATCCAGTAACCGATACTTCCGCGACTTTTACATATATTTACAAACTTTTTTTTTTTGTTAAAATGTAGGATTTTGATTAATATCCTATTAAATATAACTAGTACAATGTACCATTTTTTATTTTAAAAATTACTAACTACGAATTTGTAAATCCTAATAGATATTTACTTACTTTACAAATGAATCTTTTTTTTTTTTATCGAAACCTGTGGTTTACAAATGAATCTTTGCAAAAGGGGAAAAAAAACACTTTACAAATGAATATATCTACAAATTTTAGATATAAAGCTCACAACAAAAAATAATATATTGATACGAATGACAAACCCCACCTTTCTTTGGTCTCAAATTATTCAACCAACATGATAATAATGCTAATATTGATACTCTAATCAATGAGCTCTTGCAAAACTATAAATTGTTTGGATGGATGAATTAGAAAATAATACAATTTTGGTCAATTGTTTCATTTTATAAAATAAATAATTTAAAATGAGCCAATTTGAATTACTGATTTGTTACTTCTTTCCAAGACAATTAATTTTTTTTAAACGAGTCAGTTTGAAATATGCCTAACCAAATTGTTCCATCCAAAATTTATGTTATATTACAAAAAAAAATTATCAAATTATCAAATTATCAAAATTTATGTTAAAAGAAAAGAAAAGGGGAGGGAGAGAGTAGATAAGGCAAGTAAACAGTAAATCCGGAAAGTAAAAAGAAAAGGTTAGAATAAATAGATTGTGAGATGTGAGGGTTGTAGTTAGTTAACTCTCCATATGAGCTGGATCCACTCTTTCAGGAGTGTCCCGCCTCACTTTCTCAAATAAAAATATCTCACTATTATTCTCTAAAATTTCTTATAAAATATAGGTCAATTACACAAGTGACCACTCAACTTGGGACTACTCCAAATTAGTCCATCAATGTTGACTTCGAATTATTTGGACCGACTAACATTAATAGTCGCGTACTCTGATCATTCTCTGTTAGCCAATTCCACCACGGGAATGATAAAACGTTGGAATAAACTTAATCAATCGAGCAACAGATCCTAATGTGTACTTGATTTGATCTAGCCCAACAATAAAAAAAGTCATCAACAATTATGGATAATAATTGTATTAAATAAGCATTAGCATTACAATTTACAATCAAGTTGGAGTTTGGATATTACAAAATTTAAGGTCTATCAATTCATACCTCGTGTTCGGTACTCTGTTAGAGCTATCAAGTGAGTCGTTTCATTTCGCGTGTATTTCACAAGAAGTCCAAAGTCTGTTTCGCATCTCAATTCCAACTTCGTCGAGTTTCTTCGCACATTGTTTTCCATCTCCTTTGATTTACAATATAATATGAAACAATACGCTAATCTGACTCTCCTTCTTACCCAATAACTAAATTGACTGTCAATCTGTATGATCTTTTTTACTAATTTGAAGTGAGTTGGACTTGTTGAGTTAACCAATTTGAACCCAAAAACTAATGAAGCTTATAAATTGGAAGTTATTTTAACTTAATCAAAACCTTACTGATAAATTCATTAAAATTGAAAGTATGACGACTAGATTGTTAATGACTATAAAGTTCAGTGACCTGTAATCCGCGCTGATGCAACCCAGCAAAACAGATGAATTGAGCTTCAAGCTCATAATCTCATATCACAAAAAAAGGAAAACAAAAATAATAATAAACCTTCCATTTGTTTGCTCCCTCTCCTCAATAATTAATTGATTTTTCTTTCTCCTTTTCCCCATTATCAAATAATCCAAAAAAATAAAACTCACCTTCTCATTCATTTTTCTTCCTTCTTCTCTCCTTTCGTCCCCTTTTCTCTCCAACAATTCTCGAGCTTCAGTTTTTCTTTCCCCTTTCTTTTCGCTCTCTTCCGTAGAACTCTCTCAGAGAGAGCTGTCTTCTCGGCTCAACCTTTCTTCTTCTCACTTTCCTTTTCCTCCTGTTCCTTGATGCCAACTTCCAACCTCAAGCTAATGTGAATTTCTCGCTTTCCTCTGTTCTGTCTCCCCTATCATATTACCCTTCTTTTTGATTCTTCGGTCTTTCAATTGCGGTGTGGCGGGATCGCAGTTTGTCTTTTCCCGTTTCGGGTAACTGGAGAAAGGATTAGAAGAACTATGAATCCCAGCAATGGAAGAGGTGTTGTCTCTTCTGTTAGCTCTAGGGTTAGCAGGAAATCTAGCGAAACCGTGCCTGATCAGTTCCCGGTGGGGCTCCGTGTTATGGTCGTCGATGACGATCCCACTTGCCTTATGATCCTGGAAAAGATGCTCAGAACTTGCAAGTATGAAGGTAAACGCTAACTTCCCAGCTCCTCCTCTTCCCCTTGTCAGCTCCTGGGATTGGGTACTGAAAAGATTTAAATTTAGATTCGAGATTTAGCTTCCGCAAAGATACGCCAAATTTTGTAGTTGTTATGAACTTAGCCGATTGTGGGTTGGTGATAAAGATGTGAACTTGGTTTGACTTGGTATGATTTGATTTGACCATTTTTTAAACTTTGATTTGGATTTGATTCTTTTGTTTGTGTTCTATTTTCAGTGAAAAGATGCAGTAGAGCAGAAGAAGCCCTATCAATCCTACGAGGGAATAGCAATGGCTATGATGTCGTCATTAGTGATGTTCATATGCCAGACATGGACGGATTCAAGCTGTTGGAGCAGGTTGGTTTGGAAATGGATCTTCCCGTCATAAGTAAGCAAATTTCTCCCTCTTTTATCTTCACATTTGATCTCCATAACTCAATTTGGGTTCTAATGATTGGTGGGAGTTTGGTGCAGTGATGTCCGCGGATGACTCAAAGAGTGTGGTGATGAAGGGAGTAACTCATGGTGCTTGTGATTACCTGATAAAGCCGGTCCGGATCGAGGCTTTGAAGAACATATGGCAGCATGTCATACGAAAGCGAAAGAATGAGTGGAAGGAAGTGGAGCAACAGTCTGGGAGTGCGGATGACGGACAGCCGAAGCAGTCGGAGGATGGTGATTACTCGTCCTCGGTCAATGAAGGCAGTTGGAGAAACTCGAAGAGAAGGAAAGATGACGATGAGGATGGAGAGGATAGGGATGACACTTCCACTTTGAAGAAGCCTCGTGTGGTTTGGTCCGTGGAGCTGCATCAACAGTTCGTTGGTGCTGTCAATCAGCTTGGAATTGACAGTATGTTGTCTCTCTCTCCCTCTCGCTTACTATTTATTGTAAATTACACTGCCAACTAGGGCTTTAATTTTTTGGATCCATTTCGTTAAGCCCCATATATTTTTGGTGGATACAATTGTAGAAGCTGTGCCAAAGAAGATTCTTGAGTTGATGAATGTGCCTGGACTCACTAGAGAAAATGTTGCTAGCCACCTTCAGGTATGGCTCTAACTTGATTTACAAGTCTTTTATTTGGGTGGGGGGGGGGGGGAATATTTGGAATTTGCACGTACTTGAACAAATATATCATTTTGGTTGATACTTGAAATGATGCTTGGTGTATTTCCATTTGTGTTGAGCTTTTTTCTTCTAATACGGTACTTGCTCTTGTGAGGTACAGAAATATCGATTGTATCTGAGAAGGCTAAGTGGTGTTTCTCAGCACCAGAATAATTTGGGCAGCCCTTTCATGAACCCTCAAGATCCCGGATACGGACCATTATCCAATCTCAATGGAATAGACTTGCAAACCTTGGCAGCAACCGGTCAGCTGCCAGCGCAAAGCCTCGCTAATCTTCAAGCAGCTGGATTAGGTCGAGCAGCAATAGCACCCAAATCCAGGATTCCAATCCCAGTGGTGGATCAGAGGAACCTCTTCAGCTTTGAAAACCCTAAGCTTACATTTGGGGATACCCAACAGCAGCCACAACATTTGAACAATGGAGGGAAGCAAATCAACTTGCTTCATGGAATCCCAACCAACATGGAGCCCAAGCAGCTCGTGAATCTGCACCACCAAGGAAATTCAATTCCAGCTGTTCAGAGTGTTCAAAGTGTACACAATGGGTCCTATCAACCGCAGTCAAGAGTGCAGCAGCCAATGGGTAACTATAATCCAGTTTCTCACACTTCACCAATGATTAATTTTCCATTAAGCAGCTCAGCAGAGCTACGAAGCAACATCTATGCTCTCCCAAATAATCCAGCCAAAGGTGGATTTCCAGAAGATGTGACCTCAGAAATGAAGGGATCAACACCAGGATTCGTGCCTAGCTATGATATCTTCAACGAGTTAAATCACCAACAGAAGGTCCACGATTGGGAACTGCAGAATGTAGGGTTGACATTCAATGCTACTCAGCAAGCTAATAATAGCATAGATGTTGTTGGGACTTCAATCGTAGGATCTCCCCATCAGGCCTTCCCATCATCGAGCCAAGGAAGTGGTCTGTCTAGGAATGCATCTGTTGTTCATGCGAACAACAATAATAATGCAATAAGCATGGGGCAACATCATATGAGCAATAATAACTTCTACCACGAGAATAATCCAGTTAGGGTTAAGCTCGAAACCCCATTGTTTCCAGAGCAATTTGGTCAGGATGATCTCATGAGTGCTCTGCTCAAGCAAGTACGTCAGATGTCCTCTTTTATTTGTTATGTTCTTACCCTAAACAATTTGCTCAACACTTTATTTATCTTGTGTTTTATGTTTGCCACTTATTGCAGCAACAAGGAGGGATAGTACCAGCGGAGAATGACTTTGATTTCGACGGGTATTCCATAGACAATATTCCGGTCTAGGAGTGAACAGATGAAGATTCAAGCATGCGTGAGTTCACTCCCTCGTGGCGATGGCCATTGCTGATGTACATAACTGTTGTTTCCTGTGGACCCTCCGAATTTTCTCTTCAACGACAGCAGCATAGCAAATTCGAAAGTTATAGTAGTTTCTTTGTTAGAAGGAAAGAGTTGCCTGCATTTGACCGACGTAGCTGCATTTCACCTGTGAATATACGAGGACAGGCTCTCTGCTGGGTCTCTATTGAACGTGGTGTCGTATAGAAGAACACGATCGATCAAAAAGATCACCAGCAGCAGCATGATATTATGCTAAAGGCATACCCATGCAAAATTTTGGATGGAACTATTCGGGAGGGAAGTCCAGCAGAAGCAAAAGAGGAACCAAAAGAAATCTAATTCTTAGGAGGGTGGAAATGAACAGACTTGTGGTATTTGAGCTCTTAGAAAAGTTGAAATTCAGTGAAGAATTGATTCATAAGCTTAAGTAGAAGGGTTGCAGAAGGAATGTAGGGCTGCCTTTTCGTTCCCCCCTTTTTCTAACCTCTTAATAATACATTTGTTAGGATTTCAGTTTGCTTTTTGATTTCCAACTTCTTTTCAGATTTGTTATTTGAGGAAGCTGACCCGTGCTGTACATACAATCTCTTCACCCCCATTTGATTGCTCTTTCATGCATAAGTGATAAATCCCTTCTTTCCTGGTATATTTTCCCCCAGGATGTTTCATTTTATCTTCATCTTCCCTTTTGTACTTGGAATTTATTGCAGGAGTCTTTCTCATGTTCTTATATATTATTAAAGCTCCTGCTTTGTGTTGCCGAGTTGTAGACAGAAGCAACATTGTATTGAGCTTTTCTGAATTTGAAATGATTTATTTGCCTACAATTGTATTAACATGGTACAAGAAAAAGTGAAGAAGTTTATAATACAGAAAAAGTGAAGAAGTTTATACCAATCATTAATGTAATGGATTGATGGTTGAAAGGCGAAGAACGGTTTAAGAAGGCGAGGAAGTTGGTTAAACTTACAAAGTAGCAAAAGTGGAGGTATGACAATTTCGACCTAATCTGTTTTATCCAACTTGTTTGGTCTGTTTTGGATTGTTCCGACTCACCCTGTAGGTGGTAGGGGTGGGCATTCGGTCGGTTCGGGAACCAAACCGAAGAGACCACTATCGGGGTTCCGATCCAATCCAAAAGCCAAACCGAATTTGAACCGAATTATAACTTGGTTCGGTTCGGTTTTTCCCTTCAAAACCGAACATACCAGCTGTTTGCGTTTTACCCTTCTGGCTCCTGCGTTTTGGTGCCTGCTGCTGGTCAAAACGGAAGAGGTCTCTCATTTACCCTATCTTCTCAAATCTCACTTATCCTTCCTCAGAAGAAACTCTCTCCCCCTCTACCCCCCTCCAACCAACTAACGAGGCGGCGGCGATCGGAGGGCACAACGCATGACGGCAGATGGCAACAGCTATTGACGGCAGCAGCGATCTGAACTCAAAAAGGAAGAAAGGAAATCGACGGATGACGGCAGCGGCAGCAGCCATTGCCGACGGTGATGGTGACGACCTCGACAACGAAGGTTTGATTTTGTGAGTTTAGATCCAAGCATGCATGTTATTTTTTTGGTTTGTATCTCCTTCGAGTTTCAGGAGCATTGTCTCTGTTTTTCGATTCAGGTGGAGAAGGCACTAGCTGCGGGCTACGATAGTCGGCAGAGAAGAGAAAGCTGCGAAGAAAGGAAGAAAGATTGATTCGATGGTGAAGGAGGTGGAAGAGCGCGAAGGAGAAGATGGCGGAGATGATGGATTGATGGCGTCGGTCATCGAAGAGCAAAGAGGCAGGGAACATAGGGGAATGGTAGGCGGCGACGACCGCTGTGTGGTGGGAAGGGATGGGCTAGATCTAGGCTAGGGTTTTGCCGTATGGGCTGATGGGGATGGGCTAGGTTAAGGTTTCGATATGAAAAAGGGCTTATGGTTTTGGGCCTTGGGTTCATGAAATGTCAACTGTTAGACATATTTTGTTTTTCGGTTCGGAATTCGGGGATCTCGGTTCGGTTGAGGGAACCATGATTTCCGAATTACCCCTAATTTCCTTCCGAATTCTAAACCGAAAATCAAAAGTTCGAAACCCGAACCGGACGCCCACCTCTAGTAGGCGGGACGGGGCTGACATGGGTACTCCCATCGACCCGCCAAGTCTTGACCCTCCCCATTCTCGACCCTAAATTACATGTAATCTTAATCAAATTACTTGTGATTTTCCTTTTATTACACCATATTTTAGCTATAATAAAATTGCAAATTAGTGAAAACCTCAAATTTTCAATAATTTAACTACATTTATTATAATATGGTTTGTTTTCTTGGTCTTATAATGAAATTAACAATATTTTTACTGTTTTTCATATAAATTGCATATCCTTTAGGTTGGTATGCTTCGACTCGCGACCCATGATATAAATTACCCGACCTTGACCAAAGGACTTGCCATTGCCATTCCTACTGGACAGGGGTTGCTTAAGAAGGCGGGATGACAGAGCAGCACAGTGCACTGAAGGTAAGTTGGTGCTGATTGCCTGATTCGGAAGAGAACTACTTGCGTTTGTATCTGTATATGTATCTCGTAACCCAAGTGTGCAAGTACGATTACTTCCTTTCCAAGCAAGAGAAAGAAGGCAGGCTAGGTTCTGGTCAAGCTGTAAACTTCATCATCATGTGGCGAAATATATTCAAGATTCACCCGAGGTAAGTAGGTAACAACAGTTATATAATACAAAGACTGATCAGTTCAAAAGAAAGTAGAAGAACGATAGTAGCAGTAGTAGTAGCTGCAGCAGCACAAAGAATTAATCTACAAATCCTGTCAATCATGGAAACATCTCTACAGAGTAATCACATCATTGTACATTTAGGTTCAATTCAGTATGTCTGCGACAAAGTGCTGATATCAACTACAAGGGTTTTCAGATAAAGAACCCCTCATCTCCTAACAAATCCAGTAGTCACCAGCCTTGGCCAACAAACCTCAAGAGTATTTACCAGTGTCGAATTGCTTGCACATCTTCATAAGACTTCTCCAGTGTGACCTAGAAACCCGAAAAAGAATGAATAAATCGTCTCGTCTCCCGACAAAGCTACCACCGTAGCTCCTTCATCAATATAGATGCCACCAGAGCTGCTAGAATAACAGACATAATACTTTCAGGCGCCCTTCTGCTGACATCACTCGTCGGATACACTGAAGGAAGCGAACACTCTTCACCATTGAAGTACACTTTGGTTGGAAACCCATCTCCTGATGGCACATTGATTCCTGGTGTAGTCCTCTTAGTAAACGAGATCACTGACTGCTGTTTCCCGGGCACTCTTGGATCTTTACTCGGGTTCAACCCATCAGTCTCACCCACAAGATAGTTCAACCCTGGAAGCCCCTGCATGAATAGAGTACTGTTGGAGTTCGGCAACATCGTTCCATTAAACGAGTACATCGCCTCAAACCCACCAGCTGCCTTATCCATCTCTACGGCAACAAACCAATCAGGGAAAAGAGTCTCTGCCCAGTTGAAGAGAGTGACCCTAGCACTCCACCCTCGATTGTAATCAGTGTTAACATGCCAGTTAATACTGACTCCACAGTTATCAGGACAGGGCATTGGGTTAGGGACCTGTCGGTGTTTAATATTCGCCCAAGCAGTTGCCATGGTGGTCCGATTGTCAAAAGGAACCAAGAGAGCGTTCGGTGGGAGAAGAACTGGTGGAGCGGTTGCACTACAGGTTTGAGCAGCTCTGTTAGGGCAACCGCAAGCACATGTGTTACATGGGACAACTGAGTCATTGTAGAATGCGGAGAAGGACACACAGCAGCGCGGTGAAGATCCTTTAGGTTGAGTGATGTTGCAGACCACCTGCCAGCTCGCAACAGCTGTGGAGTTTGATGGGAGGCCACTTGGGTCTACAAACTCACTCGGGCTAACCCTCACGGGAGGACCACATTGGTAATCCGGGTTCAAGGTCCCATTGATTTTCCAGTTCTGAGGCGGCGAAAGGTCCGAGCGGTTGAGAGTTGGTGGCATTTTGAAGACCTGCATTTGGAAAGAAGATACTGACTTGGTCGGGTCCATGGATGGGGGCAGGATTGTCCCGTTTCTGCAGCAGAAGGGGACCATCCCAACAGTTGAATCGTTGAATTTAGTTGGTGGGAGATCGATGATGGTTGGCCTTCTTTCACAGTTCAACACGGTGGAGAAGTCTAGCTGCTTGTAGTACTCGCCCTGTGGCCCAAATATGCAAGGCGAGGAGTCGACAATCGAAGGGTAAGCGCCCTTCATGGAGAAGATGAACTCGTCCTGCATCCAGTCCCAGCTGAGCTTCCAGTTGTCTAGACGACCCAAGTGGTTGTGGTTCGTGAGAGTGACTTGTGCCCAGTAGCTGGAATCATATGCTCTAGTCACATCATAGGCGATGGTGAGATCGCCGCTCTGTCGAGGGAGGAAATCACCGTCGAGTACTGTTATGTTCTTCTTGGCGTTCTCATCTCTTATGCAACATACAGACATTGCTCCCCCTGTACAGCAAAAAACACAAAATGGCTTCCATCAACATCACAGAGAAAGGAAATAATTCAGAAACTTCTCAGCCAATGGAATTAGAGGAAGAAACCCATTAACTATTAGCTATCCATCAGCATAACACTTTCGATGAAGCCAACGTAAAGAACACAATAAATGAACAGTATGATAGCCCTAGATTCTCAAAATCAGCAAAATGAAAGCTTCAATCCAAGTCTATCCAAGTCACAATTATAGTATTCAATTCAATCCCTAGTCTAATTCAATGAACTCCAACATACGAAATGAACAAATCATCGCCCTAATTAGATCTAGTTCGAACAATCAGCATGAAGAAACAGATGATTTTTTCCAATTATTTTACCTAGAGTGGAAGGAGCAGGACAAGCCCATCCGTCATTAACCAGAGTAATATTCTCCGGCCAGGGAATCGCCGGCGGCTTGACCCCAAACTGAGTCCCGAGCATCTTGACCTCAACCGAGGTCTGAGTCGAGTCCCCGGCGGTCTCAATCGCGGTCTTCAAGTCGGTCATCGGGAACCCAGCGAAAACCGTGCCGTTCCCCACCAAAGCAGGGTAGCTCGACCCATCAGCCAGAATCGCGTTGCTCGCCGAGACCAAGACCTCGTCGTGCTTGAACCCTACGTAGACCTGCCACGACTTGAGCCTCTCGATCCCGTTGTTCTGCACTGTGAGCGTGGACTCGAATCGGTACGGCTGGTGCTTCGGGTCGGTGGGCGCGATCTTGGATCCGGTCCCCGTACGGTAGGAGAGGAAGATCCCGTTGCAGTTGTCCGCAGCAGGCGCCGGCGCCGCCGCCGAAGGTGTAGCTCGGGTCCCGCCGCCGGGAGTCTGGGCAATCGAGCAAATGGGTAGGAAGAGAAAGGCGGCGAGGGCGAAGGGAACGAAGAAACCCGGCATCTCTTTGAGGGATTTTCAGGCTTCTGGGTTCTGATGGGGAAGTGGTGTGCTGAATGAAGCTGCTGGGCTTTCTTTTTTTCTTCTAGTTTTTGTAGTCGTGGGGGGGAAATGGCGGAAGGAAGAAGGTAGGATTTTGAGGGATTAACGCGTACGGGAGTGGGGATATTGAGGTAGCCGAGTAAAATCCAGCTGTGGGATTTAACGAGAAGAGAAAAATGTTTGATTTTTGGTTCTGATTTTGTATTTTTGGATGTGGGAAGAGGATTTCTCTGAAGAGGAATAACGAAGGGTGGATCTTTTGGAGTTATCTATTATTTTAGTTTTAGGGAAGGGCTTGAGCCGCCATTGGAGTGAAGGAAAGAAGGAGAGGTGGGTGGAGAAGAGGAGAAAGAATTGTTTATTCGGATT